ACAGGTCTAGAGCACAACTGAGTCAATACGTAAGTTTTTGTGACGTCATACCTCAATAATAACCTATTATGAATTTGTTTCCAGCTATAAAATGTAAGGTGAAAAGCCTACTAGCCCTGTGGGACGCCAACGTCGTGGAAGAATCGTTGTCGTATATTGGATGGCCCAAGAACAACACAAACGAAGAGCCTGATAGCCAGGTAAGAATCAATACTATGTATATTCTTAAGTGAATATAAAAATTCAATATGCATTTGGAGAATGCGTTCTAAAATATCTCATTCTAGTTTCACAATAGAACCTCTCTTTATTTCCAGACCATATCAACAATGATGCGTTTGACAGAACAACTGACGATTTTCGACGCGATGAGCTCCGATTGCGACACATTCGACGCATCTTCAAGCTCCAGCTCCAAGGAGACCTCGCCCACCTTAGACCTCCCAACTTTGACTTCCAGCGTGCCAAACATTTGCCCCAAGAATCGGGACAAAATATCTGAAGGCACCGAACTACAATTTCACAATGACTACTTCAAGAGTGAAAGAGAGGAGCGGAGCAGTTGGCACCACTCGTTCAGATCGGTCCGCTCTCGCCCCAGACTGAACGAAACCCAGAGTTTGTCGTTCGAGTCGAATAAGACCAGACATGGCAGTTTGAGGAATGACTTCAAGTGCTCCGCGTCTTTGGAACAAGTCTCGTACAGATGTCTCATGGAGAGTCTCAGTGGGAATGATAAGAGGAAGGTGAGATTGTTTATCTTTAAGACTTAAATATAAATCTTGTAATAACACCTGGTCTATGCTGGCGATGTGTGTTGATAAATGTCCTTTAGTTGTTATATGATACGCGTTTGCATTAGCTGTGCGATTTAGACATTGTTTACTCATAATTAACAGTTTTTATGATTATTTTTTATGATTGTGGCCTTGTCCAAGCAAGTAGTTCGATTGTTGAATGATAAGTTTATCCTGCTGGCGTTTGTCATGTTTTTCACTGCATTAAACATTTTATAATAAAGAAGTTCAATATTTAGACTTAATTTTTCACTATCTTGGATATACACGAATTAGTGGTGGGCTCGCTTAGGTCTGAAGATTGACTGCCCTGGTTTTTTAAGTGTATTAATATGCCTAAAGCGAATAAAAATCTACTACCATGACATCACGCTAAAAATATACAAGTACTGGAAACAATACAAGACTGCTATAGTTATGTTTTGCGTTTTTTGTTTAGAATTTATTGGCAAAACTGTCGTAAGGCGAATTTGCATGATTATAAAGTATGTAGATGTCTAATTTCGCAATTACTGTTTTAATTATCATTAATCACTGTAACAGCTCTTTGGTAAATTTGTGTGCCAAGCAGATTTTTATTTATATATTTTGCTTTTTTTAAATAGTTTATGCACTGCCGCGTTGACGAATTCACATGATTGAGACATCCGTATTTTTTTCTCTGATCTCAAACTTTGCTATTAGGCGCATGCGCCGTCTTTACTTGTGATAGAACCGCTGTCCCTTTTGATTATAAGGTTAATCTATTCGTACGCAGGAGTTCGTTCCCACCACTGCAGTGGCGGGGCAAGACTCAAATTTGATGTGGGCAAGACAGATTTCGCGAGGTCTTGTTCTGTGGCGAACTGAATTATAAAAAAAGTAATAATAAAAAAACAATGAACACTGACAAGTTTTTATTCATAAAAATACAAATTATAGCCTGACCAGGAACATAAAAACCCTGGCATAGAGGCGCGTCAATTGCATTTGATAGTGCAACACTGAGTACAGTCGTATCTGTTTTAAATTAATAGGCTAACTTTATGTATCAGGATTCAGGATTACGGGCTAATTTGATATTTTCATAAATTAACGAAAAAATATTATTATAGGTAACCTGGTTTAAATAAATTAAATGAAACCATCAATCGAGCTAGTAGGATTTATTTTATTATTCATCAATAATCAAATTCAGAACTTGAATATTCAACTGCAAAGTCTGCTCATGAACGCTTCAAACTCGGTACTTCTTTCCCAATTCCATAAAATTCAACACTTATAAAGTGTCATTTATTTTTAAAATAGGTAGTTGAAACAAACCACAGCTAATTTTCATAGTGGACTGTACTATACGATAAACATGTCAGTCAATTTGACGACCTTTGTCGGAAACCTTATTCAATGAAAATATTGTCCGAACCCTTAGTATTTCTCTTCGACAAATACTTTAACACATTGTAAACCACTTTTCTTTCACGACTATAAAAAGATTTCAGCAATTTAATTCACAAAATCAATTGCGCACATTTAAAATAAAGTTTGTTTACACTTTGACAGCAATAGACTGACATGCAAGGTGACATGTCAATGAAATTTTTCAGTTACTGTTGCCATTAAAATAAATTAGTACCATTAGTTTTCCGCAATATGGCGAGGGTTTTTATGTTCCTGGTCGGGCTATAGAATAATATTTAAAAAAAAATTTTTTGTGGCGCGAGGCCCCTTGTACCGCGTGGCCGTAGGCGGTGGCCTACGTCGCCCACGCCTTACGCCGCTACTGCACCACTGCTATGTGTTACCAAGATTTAAAGTTATTTGTAGCAAGCATTCGTTTTGCCAGCATTCGATATGCGAGTTAAACCACAGAATAATAATAAGTACTGTTAAACTAGATCCTAAGGTTTATTTGCATAGGCTGCATCGAATCGAACAGATTGTGACTCCTACGCGAACTAAATAATTATGTAAAGCCAATGCTCCTAAATAAGTATTTTTTGATACAGTTGATTTGCTTGGTTAAACGACATGGTCACTGTTTGAATTGTAAAGGTGTAAGTCCAAGATGGGCTGCAGATTGTAACCGCAGACTATCGCATTTCATATAGACAATATCATAGAAACCGTGGTGGCTTGCAGTTTGCGGTCTGCAGTCCATCTTGGACTTGTACTTATCTTAGATGCTACGTTGCAAAATGTATATTGCGCAAATTAAATTATATTTCGTTTCTAAGCGACATTATAGGCAGTGCTTCAATGATCCTTATCATTTCAGAACTCGATCCCTCGACGAGAATCTGTGACGTTAGGCGGCGCGTGCCAACCCGACCAGGCCGCGAGGGAAACCAACCTGGCCTACTTGAAAGGAGTCGGGACGAGCGTGGAACAGAGCCTGGCCACTTTGGTGGAGGCATTGACGCAGCGCGTCGAGAGTAGCAGCGGTATGTACCAAAATATTGTAAAAAAATTAATAAATGCCACTGTATCTTAAAAATTGTATTTTTTCTTCAAAACTTAGAGCTACTTAAAAACTTACCTAACAAATTACCTACCTACATAATACTTAGCCCAACTAATTTGTGAATTGTAAGAGTAGGCGCACATCGTTGATTTTTAGTTGGCCGATAGTTGTGCCCGATTTTAAATTGTATGAAGAATCGGCCAAATCGAATCGGCGTAGTGTGCGCACTCCCATACATGCCCATACTGATCAACTGCCCGACTAAACTATCGGCCGACGAAAAATCAACGGTGTGCGCTTACTCTTACAAGTATCCCCAATTTCCAGGGTCCATAACCGACGAAGAGCTGGACGGTATAAAGCGGTGTACAGACTCGCTGCGCTCATCCGCCGACGCCGTCTCGCGGTGGTTGCGCGTGTCGCACGCCGCGCTGCGCCTGCGCTTCGAAGCGCCGCACTTTGCGCGTGAACACGCTGCCTTACAGACCAGGCGGGATACGTGCTTCTCGCAAGCTGTAAGTACTAATAATTTTCTTTCCTAATCAAATCGATCGTTCTGTATTGCTCATAATATAAAAAAGTTATGTCTGAATAAAGTATAATACTTTAATGTGTGTCAGAATACTGGAGAAACTTCTGTAGATCGATGTAAAGTGACAATAGCACAATTTTGTCTGTGTCAAGTTGGAGAAACGGGTTCGATCCTCGCCGCGCCGCTTGACTAATGTGGTGAACCCGCTCGTAACACAAGCTTAATATTTAGTTTACCGCGAGAGGGTAACAGGACTATTAGTAATGTAATAACAAATTGTAATATTATTTTAATTTTCAGCTTACTGCGGTGTGCACCGGCCTCCTGTGTTGGTTCTGCTCGGTACCCGCCGATGTGGTTGTAAAGCTGCTGTCCAGCGGGCTAGGACCGCTGTGCGCTTTCGAAGGCCTGCTGAGTCTATACTCCACCGAGAAGGCAATGTGGGGAGACATGGTCGTGGCCGTCGAAGACTTGCAGACAGTCGTGTTTACGCTGACCAAAGTCGCTCACAGGTAGGTTACTTTAATACATTAAGACCCGGAACACACGGTGAAACGCAATTGCAACGAAACTGCAACTTGTAGTTACTTTTGAGTTGCATCTAAGTTTCTGCCATAGATTCCGTTGAGAGACCACACAGAACGCGACCAGTTTGAAACCGGTCTGAAATGGTCGCGTCATGTGTGGCTCAAAAGTAACTAGAAGTTGCAGTTTCGTTGCAATTGCGTTTCACCGTGTGTTCTAGGCCTTAGAGTCCCCGTAGAATATCGATTTTCTGTTGGCTGATAGTTTGGTTGGCTGTAATTTGTACGAGGAATCTGCCTGTAACAGCGCTGTAGTGTGCGCACAGTCATAGTCAGTTCATCCAAAAGTGTCTACAAAAAGTCTGTATTCTGCGGGGAGTCTCGTCTTGTCTTCTTGTCTTTTGTAAAGCCATAAATTCGATTTGGTGCAAAATTCAAACTCAAACTACCTATACTTCAGATGCGTGTATATTTCTGTTAGGTGTAGCTAAGAATCTCTACAGAAAGCCCAACTTAAACATGAAATTCCCTAGCCTTAGCAGTTTTACCTATAAATTCATCTTTAGGCCTTCAGAGTACTACCTGTCCGTACCTATTTCAATACATAGTGAAATAATATAAAAACAAACGATTCATAATACAAAATATGTTTATTATAAGCAGATTACCGTTTACAATGGTAAAGTTTTAACAATTGCCGTGGGGTTATAAAATTCAGTACAAAATGCAGGAGGCGTTCACGTTTCTGATAGTTGAGTCGCATTACTAGCAGTAGGACATCAGTTCGTTGATGGTGCAGGGCTTCTCGCAGCACTCGGAGACCACGCCGTCTCTCTTGGCGCGGCCCTGCAGCGCCTTAGCTCTGGGCATGAGCCAGGGCCAGGCGTAGCCGTAGTTCTCGATAGAATTCATACCGCCACGCTTGTCGATGCCAGTGGCGGGGCAGAGGTTCGCCAGGGTGTTGGCCAACCGTCTCCCGCAGAAGAACTGGCTCTGGGACTGCCCAAATCCCGCGGCGATGAAACTGAGCGCGATCAGCAGGATAAGCACTTGGTTCTTCATGGTTACTGCTACTGATATTTCTTGATGGGTACTTGGTTACTGGTTGCTCCGAAGGATTCAACTTGAGTGTACCTGTACTGAAAATTTGTTCCCTTTTATACGGTTTTATCTCATGAATATTAAAATTTCGACCTAAAAGCGGTCCAGTGACGTGTGGCACGTCTAACATGATCACATGTGAATTTCTCACTTGAATAGATAATTACTGAAAACCCTGAACTACCGTTGTTACTTTTTGGTATACCATTAATATTACGGGGTAAATATTTCTTTTTATCTATAATTTCGACAGTTAAATCCCACCAAAAACATTCTGTAAAAAACTAGCCAAGTCTCGATGGAGCTGCTTGTTTTTCTCTAAAAAGTAATGAAATCTAGACAAAGTCGTGCCAAGTCTATGGTTCTTTACTGCGATTTCTTTATTATTATAGTTAATGTTGTGTGACTTGGCCGTTGAAGGGTACAAAACCAGGTGCTCCATGACACCATTGCACCAATCTGTTGCCAGAACCGCTACCCATTGACGATGGAAAATTGCCACTTGGAAAACGTTGATTTAATAACCAGTCAATTGTAGGCTTAATAAAGCTGCGTATTTCAATAATACTTATGCATAAGTATGTGATTATAGCTTACTAGATGACGAAAATTTCTGCGTTCTAGTCTTATCCAGAGGTTCTCAAATAGGGGCCTGAAAATGCGGCGAAATGGTTCCAGTAAAGGATGGTACGGCAGTGTTTGCTTCGCGCTCGACTTGGCGGGGGCACTGCCGTGCCCCCAGATTAGACTAAATATCTTGCATGATTTAAATCTCGAGTTTTTTTCTAAAATATTTTATAACCCGTGATTTGCAGGAAAATATTTTTGAAAAATAACTTTTTACAGTAAAGTCCATTGTATTGTGCATTGATCATAATTAACACGAGAAGTAATACAGTTTTTACTACGGAACTTGCTTTTATTGTGGATACATCTGATTTGATGTTTTTTGCACTAGAGGTAAAAATATACCCTGCGATGTTAGTGATGGGTTAACGAAGACTAGCATCTACCCACACAGATTTATTAAAATTATGAGTAAAATATCGAATACTGGTAAACAACTTTGGTATTTTCTAAGAGAAGAAGCCTGTATCCATATTTCATGTGTTTAGTGACTTTCCATGATATTATGTACAAATATTTGCTTCCATTTGGTTTTTAATTTATTACTCGTCTTGACTTAAGGTCCTATGTCCCCTAGATGGGGCAGAGGGCGTCCACAACAGTCCTCCATCGCGTTCGGTGGAAACTTATTACGCGTAACACTTTTGAAATCCCACCAAAAACATTCTGTAAAAAACTAGCCAAGTCTCGATGGACCTGTTGTTTATCTCTAAAAAGTAATGAAATCTAGACAAAGTCGTGCCAAGTCTATGGTTCCTTACTGCGATTTATTTATTATTATAGTTAATGTTGTGTGACTTGGCCGTTGAACAATCGTTATTAAGATAATCATACATAAGTATTATTGAAATACGCAGCTTTATCAAGCCTACAATTGACTGGTTATTGAATCAACGTTTTCCAAGTGGCAATTTTCCATCGTCAATGGGTAGCGGTTCTGGCGACAGATTGGTGCAATGGTGTCATGGATGGAGCGCCTGGTTTTGTACCCTTGTGTACACCCTTCAACGGCCAAGTCACACTTTTTAGAGATAAGCAAGCAGCTCCATCGAGACTTGGCTAGTTTTTTACAGAATGTTTTTGGTGGGATTTCACTTTTTTGTAGTATTTTAGTGTAATTTGTTTATTTAATTTGTGTAATGTTCGAGTAGATTAAAGTTATAATTATTATTACTCGTAACACTTTTGAAATTATATTGTAATTTAATAATAATAGAAAAGTAAAACATTTTACGGGTTTCGGTGCCGCGATATTCTGAAGTTTTTTTTTAATGGATAGAGGGATTTAGTTTCCGTGAAATTACTAATTTCATAGATAGATATACTCGTAACTTGTGAATAATTCATAGTTTATTTAGATTGACTTGCGCGTCATTTACACAATATTACATGCAAGCTTTTATTTAGCTTGTCGCGGCGTCTCGGCGCCGACGGTCTGTCTGCGCATAAATAATTCTTACAAGTTGAATTTGTTCCACCTCACATATTTCGATTGAGATGACATTTTAGATACTTCATTAAGCAAGTTGGACGATGAAGGAGAATAAAATTATGGTACCTATCATAGAGTTAAGTGCCACAAAGGGATGGAAAAATGTGTCATAGATTCAATTTGTGTACAGTATACACGCGAAGTATGCGTGTTAATGTGTCCGTCCACAGTAAATTTAATTTTGATTCGATGATGTTGTTTGTTGCAGTAATTCGGCGATACCGCAAGTGACTGGCACCAGAGGAGCCTTGACTGTCCTTATACCGATCTCAGACTCCCTGTACACGAAGTTCACCAACAAAGAGGTATGCGACTTTAACATTTTCGTAAATTAATTATTATGAATTATAATTTTTTAAATATATTTTTTTATATTTGATTGACCGATGAGTCTCGTTTATATTTCTGAATCGTGTTATTCTTAAGAAAATGGGCCTGATATTATTCCTGATAATATGTCTCATCTCATTTATTATTGCGTAATATCAAAGGTGCTAAAGTTACTTCTGTGATGATTTGGATGGAGTGGGCGGAGTTGAGTTGTTTTCATTGAGCTACATTGACTATCCAGGCACTTCCCGCCACCTTTACCAGATCGTCGGTCCACCTAGTAGGAGGCCTGCCCACGCTACGTCTTCCCCAACGGCCATCGTCTCTACAAGCTATGTGCCCTGCCCACTGCCACTAGATTTTAGCAATTCTGCAAGCTATGTCGGTTACTTTGGTTCTCCTGCTAATCTCCTCATTTCTGATTCGATCACGCAGGACCGTTCATTATGGAAAACCTTGGGGGAGGCCTTTGTCCAGCAGTGGACGTCATTTGGCTGAAACGAAACGAAACGAACATTGACTATCTCCGTATTATCTGACTTATCCATCAGTCTCTTATTCTTTGCAGCACCTGACGTTCACGATAACAGCAGTACTGTTCAACATCGGCGTGAACGAGAAGGCGACTTTAGCGGAGGCTCTCGGCGAGACCACTCCTCAACAACACTCCAACGGAGACAACCTGGACCGCCTGCACAAGTACTACCACAAGCACGCGAAGTTGTTCCCGGAAATGTTCGCCGCTACCAGAGGTATGTACAGTCGCGGAATGAAAAGGTTCGTCACCTTAGTGTCGGTTTTCGCTTGCACTAGGTACTGTAAGAGTCAAACCTGCCAACATAACCGTGCAAGAAACAGTGCTGCTAACATTTAAATAAATATGACGTTTGCTACGAATAAGGTTTTGCTTGTTTATTTTTCTATCCCATCAGTGCAACGCAATGATGACATTGACCAATTGACAAGAGTTTTTTTTTATTTAAAAGAAATAATAATGGCAGGTTGAACCAACAAGGTTTTAGTTTATCAATCATAATCTTCTTGACAAGATAAATCATCAAACAACTTTGATCTGAATAATTTTGAACTTTACTGACGAGCAGTTAAAGATTATTTTCTCTAACTCGAGATTATTCTGTAACATAGTTTCAAAAGGTAATATGTGCTCGCGATTCGTTGAAGGAATCAATTTGAAAACTGACGAACCTTTTCATTCCGCGACTGTACTACCAGCAGTACTGTTATCCCTTCTAGCCGATTTGTTGTTGGGTTCCAACCAAACTGAACTCAATTAGCCAGCTTGCCTCGCCACATGGTTAAACCGGCAGACAGTGGTGACTGAGTTTGTTGCGGCGCTTCTTCTCAGCACTTGCCAACAGTTGGTCTCGAAGCTTTGGTAGGGCAAAAAAAGAATGAGACATGTATAGGCTCCTTAAGAGAATTTGACGATTTGTAAGTACTAATTTAATAAGTCTATACAAATAAAGATAATTTTGATTTTGATTATGATACTTTCTTTCACAAGCTAGGTTTTTTCATTGTAAAACTAATAGAATGATTTGGTATAAAAAAATCTAGGAATCCTTACAATACATGTAATATAGTCGAAAAATGTTAGGGCGTGTGTTATTTTTGTTGTTAAAATATTTACCTAATAAGGGTAAATTGATATTTTTTAGACTGCCACCCTCTATAAGGCTAATGTTAAAAAAAATCATTGGTTTTCGACCCTAAGACCCAGAACAGACGGTGAAACGCAACTGCAACGAAACTGCAACTTTCTGATGATTCTTATGAATGAAACTGAAACTTTCAAACTGGTTGCGTCATGTGTGGTCTCTCAACGGACGCTATGGCAGAAACTTAGATGCAATTCAAAAGTAACTAGCAGTTGCAGTTTCGTTGCAGTTGCGTTTCACCGTCTGTTCTGGGCCCAAGAGAAGTGATTAAAAAGATCAAATTACGATTGCAGTATTTGGGTGAGACCTATGTTAAGGGCCGAACTACATAATAATATTCCTATTATGCTGATGATGGTCTGTGTTGTCCTCAGCGTCATCAAGGACGAAACCCTTAGAGGAAGTGATGGAAAATCTTAGAATATCCGTGCACAAGAAAGTGCCGAAAAACGTTGAGGTCCTCCAGTTAGCAGCACTGGCCACGCGGCTCATGAACGGCATACGTTTCACGTCTTGCAAGAGCGCCAAGGACAGGACTGGCATGTCGGTGACTTTGGAACAGTGCCATATACTAGCCACCGAGTACCACTTGGCCGAGCATGAAATGCAAAAGGCGCTCAGCATTATGAGGAGGTGAGTCGTGTGACATTGTTGACCATTTCAGATGTTTCTTTTCGGTTTTGGGGTAAAATTTCGTGTCTTAAAATTTTAAATCCTATCCTACTAATATTATAAATGCGAAAGTTTGTGTGGATGTCTGGATGTTTGTTACTCTTTCACGCAAAAACTACTGAAAGGATTTTGTTGAAACTTTACAGTATTATTGTTTATAACCCAGATTAACAAATAGGCAATTTATGACGATATGTGACAAACTAAAT